GCACACCCCCGCCCAGAGCGTGCGCCACCTTCTCTGGGGTGCGCCCTGGGAGGCGGGACTCCTTGCCCTTTGGGGTTGGCACATCTTTAGCTTTAGGAGATAACTGCAAAGTAGCTTTGGACCAACGCGTTTGTACCAGCATATTCTCTAAGAACCAATACGCGTTGTGGCTAGTTTATATTTTCGCCTGTAGAGGACACAGTTAACCCTCCTAGACAGTTTGATCCCTGGGAGGGAGCGCGTAGGAAATATCTCCTACCTTTGGCTATAATTCATGTTTCACTGGATAATAACAACCAAGCGAGTGTCTTTTCACATGAAAATTGACCACCGGGGGTCTCCTCTTAATGTGAAATACATGTTCACATTTTGTGTCTATTTTACTATTGGGTCATCTATTTTAGAGTCATGGGATTTCTACAGAGATAGGTTCTGTCCATTATATTTGTCTGGAATATTTTTCTCCTAGTTCTTTTCACTGTGTAATTTCCTTTTCCTGCTCTTTTCTTTCTTTTGAAATAGAAATTTAGTATTTGAGCATCACTCAATTTTTACATCTCCTCTTTTTGTGCTTTAAATTCATTTACACCCTCAGGCCATGAGGATGTGTCCGTCTAGATTGCCTTCACCAAGTTTTATGGTTTTACTTTTCACGTCCTAACATAAAACAGATGTTTATATATGAGGGACCCTGTCTCGTGGCTGTCACTGCTCTTTCTGTCGGTATACATCAGATTGTGTCTTCTACAATTTCATATAAATGGAATCATATTGTATGTAGTCTTTTATTGGGAAGCCTGGCTTCTTTCACTAAGCATAATTATTTTGAGATCCATCCATGTTACTGTGTCCTTTTTTGGTTCCGTACGTCCAGTGGAATTCCACCATAAGGATTCCTCCCCATTTATCTGTTAGTAGACATGTAGGCTCTTTCTAGTTTTGAAGCAGTACAAAGCAAGCTGCTATGAACATCTGCATATAAGGTTTTCATGTGGATATATTTTATGTCCTTTGGATAAATATCTAGGATGAAGAACTGACTTCTGATACATACATAATTTACTTTTTCAAAGCTACTGGGCCCAGGGAGATAGCTCAGTAGAATAAGCGCTTGCCTGGCAAGCGCAGGGTCCTGAGTTCAAGTCCTGGTACCACAAAAAAAAACATCAACGCTACCAAATTGTTTTCCAAACTATTTGTACTATTTTACAGTTCTACCAACAGTGTGAGATTATTCCCAGTTGCTCTGTATCTTTACTAATACTTGGTATAATCGGGGTTTTTTTTTTTTTTTT